CATCACGTTCATGTCTGTCTTGCCTTCATCATGTTCATGTCTGTCTTGCCTTCATCACATTGATATCTATCTTGCCTTCATCACGTTCACATACGTCTTGTCTTCATCATGTTCACATCCGTCTTGTCTTCATCATGTTCATGTCTGTCTTGTCTTCATCACGTTCACATCCGTCTTGTCTTCATCACGTTCATGTCTGTCTTGCCTTCATCATGTTCATGTCTGTCTTGTCTTCATCACGTTCTCGTCCGTCTTGTCTTCATCATGTTCATGTCTGTCTTGCCTTCATCATGTTCATTTCTGTCTTGCCTTCATCATGTTCATGTCTATCTTGCCTTCATCACATTGATATCTATCTTGCCTTCATCATGTTCATGTCTGTCTTGTCTTCATCACGTTCACATCCGTCTTGTCTTCATCATGTTCATGTCTGTCTTGTCTTCATCACGTTCACATCCGTCTTGTCTTCATCACGTTCATGTCTGTCTTGCCTTCATCATGTTCATGTCTGTCTTGTCTTCATCACGTTCACGTCCGTCTTGTCTTCATCATGTTCATGTCTGTCTTGCCTTCATCATGTTCATGTCTATCTTGTCTTCATCACGTTCATGTCTGTCTTGCCTTCATCATGTTCATGTCTGTCTTGTCTTCATCACGTTCACGTCTGTCTTGCCTTCATCATGTTCATATCTATCTTGCCTTCATCACGTTCATGTCTGTCTTGCCTTCATCATGTTCATGTCTATCTTGCCTTCATCACATTGATATCTATCTTGCCTTCATCATGTTCATGTCTGTCTTGTCTTCATCACGTTCACGTCTGTCTTGCCTTCATCATGTTCATGTCTATCTTGTCTTCATCACGTTCACGTCTGTCTTGCCTTCATCGTATTCATGTCTGTCTTGCCTTCATCATGTACAGCATTCATCATGTTCATGTCTGTCTTGCCTTCAACATGTTCATGTCTGTCTTGCCTTCATCACATTGATATCTATCTTGCCTTCATCATGTTCATGTCTGTCTTGCCTTCATCATGTTCATGTCTGTCTTGCCTTCATCACATTGATATCTATCTTGTCTTCATCATGTTCATGTCTGTCTTGCCTTCATCACGTTCATGTCTATCTTGCCTTCATCATGTTCATGTCTGTCTTGTCTTCATCACGTTCACATCCGTCTTGCCTTCATCACGTTCACGTCTGTCTTGCCTTCATCATGTTCATGTCTGTCTTGTCTTCATCACGTTCACATCCGTCTTGCCTTCATCACGTTCACGTCTGTCTTGCCTTCATCATGTTCATGTCTGTCTTGTCTTCATCACGTTCACATCCGTCTTGCCTTCATCACGTTCACGTCTGTCTTGCCTTCATCACATTGATATCTATCTTGCCTTCATCATGTTCATGTCTGTCTTGTCTTCATCACGTTCACGTCTGTCTTGCCTTCATCACGTTCACGTCTGTCTTGTCTTCATCATGTTCATGTCTGTCTTGCCTTCATCACGTTCATGTCTGTCTTGCCTTCATCATGTTCACGTCCGTCTTGCATTCATCACGTTCACGGCTGTCTTGCCTTCATCACATTGATATCTATCTTGCCTTCATCACGTTCACGTCTGTCTTGCCTTCATCACGTTCATGTCTGTCTTGCCTTCATCACATTGATGTCTATCTTGTCTTCATCATGTTCATGTCTGTCTTGCCTTCATCACGTTCACGTCTGTCTTGCCTTCATCACATTGATATCTATCTTGCCTTCATCACGTTCATGTCTGTCTTGCCTTCATCATGTTCATGTCTGTCTTGCCTTCATCACATTGATATCTATCTTGCCTTCATCATGTTCATGTCTGTCTTGCCTTCATCACGTTCACGTCTGTCTTGCCTTCATCACATTGATATCTATCTTGCCTTCATCACGTTCACGTCTGTCTTGCCTTCATCATGTTCATGTCTGTCTTGTCTTCATCATGTTCATGTCTGTCTTGCCTTCATCACATTGATATCTATTTTGCCTTCATCATGTTCATGTCTGTCTTGCCTTCATCATGTTCATGTCTGTCTTGCCTTCATCATGTTCATGTCTGTCTTGTCTTCATCACGTTCACGTCTGTCTTGCCTTCATCACGTTCACGTCTGTCTTGCCTTCATCACGTTCACATCCGTCTTGCCTTCATCACGTTCACGTCTATCTTGCCTTCATCACGTTCACGTCCTTCACATCCGTCTTGCCTTCATCACGTTCACGTCCTTCACATCCGTCTTGCCTTCATCACGTTCACGTTCCGTCCGTCTTGCCTTCATCACGTTCACGTCCGTCTTGCCTTCATCACGTTCACGTCCGTCTTGCCTTCATCACGTTCACGTCCGTCTTGCCTTCATCACGTTCACGTCCGTCTTGCCTTCATCACGTTCACGTCCGTCTTGCCTTCATCACGTTACCGTCCGTCTTGCCTTCATCACGTTCACGTCCGTCTTGCCTTCATCACGTTCACGTCCGTCTTGCCTTCATCACGTTCACGTCCGTCTTGCCTTCATCATGTATATGCCTGCCTTGCCTTCATCACCTCCATGTCCATCTTGCCTTCATCACATTCACGTCTATCGTCTAATATTTCAAACTGCCTGGCCATCAGAGATGGGTTTTCAGTCATTGATGTGACTTTTAAAAAATGCCTGATTTGGCTTCACAAAATGCAATAAAGAGACTTTTGACATGTTTAAATCATCAATCATCTACTAAAATAAAATATGTAAAAAATATTTTTGATGATAATTATCATAATGAACAAGATTAAAGTAAATTATTCTAATTAGTAGCCATTTGGTTTTTTCTGTTATGTCAAACATAAAAACAAACTTCATAAAAATTGCCAGCTTTTCTTGAAGCATGACATTGTCTACCATTGTTAACAGGCATTCCATTTTCATTCCCAGCTGACATTTAATATAATAGATAACCAAACTTACATGTGCTGCCACACAGACAATTGGTCATTACGCTACAAGTAAACAAACTGAAATAATGCATTCAGTTTTACTCAAGAGCAACATATGACAGATATAACAGAGGAAATTAAAAGTGTAAATTATTTATGAGTGGTGGTTGATTGTAACAGTTCAGACTTAGGCTGTGTTTATTGTTCCAACCCACTTAGATCCATAAATAACAAACCGTGAAGATCCGGGTTAGAATTGGTCTTCAGCAACCCATGCTTGTACGAGGTGACTAACACGACTGGGTGGTCAGGCTTGCTGACTAGGTTCACACATGTCGTGTCCCAATTATGTAGATCCATGCTCATGATGTTGATCACTAGATTGTCTGGTCCATACTTGATTATTTACAGACCACCACCATATAGCTGAAATATTGCTGAGTGTGGCATTAAATACCAAACATTATACAGACTCTAGACACAGAGCACTACTTTATAGCTTTAATGCTGGATACAAGGTTAGCGTAACTCTTAGGCCAGACCAATTTTATTTCTTGTTTTATGGATTTTTGTCCTCAGAAAACCAAAAGGGAGGGAAAAAAATAAAACAAAAATAAATAAATACTAAAAGTAATTTACTTTTGGCAATTTATGAAGTGTACATAGGGCAAAACACAATCTAAAAAAAAGTTTTCTTGTAAATTTACATGTTTGACCAATAACACATTAAGATTATATTTTTTAAGCGGGTAAAAATTAACTATTTTTTTCTCATTCTTGAAAAAATATGACCGGCGGATCCATAAAACTAGAAATAAAATTGGTCTGGCCTTATATAGTCTTTTGGTTTGAAATGGCCAGGGGATCAAACCACTAACCTCCGGGGAGGTAGTTTACTGTAAACATAACTGCTAATGTACTGGTATACCCTTTCAAATGAGGCCTGCTTGTTTATTTATGGCTTATAATGAATGACACAACATTCACTGGAAACATGACCTCTATTTCTGCACTGTAAGTTCAGAACTGTCTACAATGTACTAGTATTCACAATGGTGATTATTTATTTATACCAACCCTACATTGCATTACCCAAGTTAAAGGGGACATGCATTTACATTCGTACCTGGCCAAGGTCCCATTTAATCTATAATTGTTGCAAATTTATGCAAAATTATTGGCACTATGATCTAAGAGTAAGATTGCTTGAGGAACAGCACCGAGGGCTCTTTTAAAAGAAAGTTCTGGACGATTCATTCGCCACGAGTGTTTACCTGTGGCGGTTCATGTCAACTGCTACAGAAACAACCAGTTATCAATAACACATATACCATATAGCCTCTAAAAAGCACCTGGGACCCGTTCCACAAAACGATCGTAGCGCTAAGATGATCGTAACTCCCATACTTTAACACTGACTTACGACTGTCGTAGAGCTACGATCGCTTTGAGGAACGGGGCGCTGGCCTCTAATAAGAACCGGGCCTCTAATAAGTACCAGGGGTAAAGCAGCTCACTAACAACTACGGTAAATAGACCTAGAAAGCGCAAAAGCGCCGGGCCTCTAATAAGCCCCGGGTCTAAAATTCTGATTGAAAAAATACGCGTCCGGGTGCTTTTTAGAGGAAATACAGTACACCTGTGTGTCAACAGCCAGCAAAAAAATCATTGCATAATTCAACAGGACAGTTGCATATGACAAGGGCAGGTGTCATTTTGTGTTTAATTTTGGTATACTGTTCTGTGTTAGAGTGAGTGAGCAAGTTTTATGCCGCTTTAAGCAATATTCCAGCAAACTTCCAGCAGGTGGAAGCCAGAAATGGGCTTCACACGTTGTACCCATGTTGGGAATCGAACCCCGGGTCTTTGGCGTGACAAGCTAGCACCTTAATCACTAGGCGACACTATCGCCCTGTGTAAGAGAAGGCAGGTACTTTCCATGAAAGTTGGCTTGAAGTTTTACCAAATGTCGACGCAGCTCGTAACGTTATTCCTATACTGTTCTGTGTTAGTTAGAGTACATATATATAACTTTTAATGGTAGTTGAATTAAAGTTTTACCTAATATCGCTGCAGCTAGAAGCTTTACTCCTACTTCTGGTGGCGTGCAGTCAGGGAAAGACAGTTTGACGATATAGAGAGAGGCCGTGTAGGCACCAATGGCCCAAGCTGGGGCCATTATCATCCACAGAAATCCCCACAACATCACAAAACCTGGAAGAGATCCGAACACTTGAGTCACGTAGAAGTAGGGTCCGCCAGCCTTGGGTAGAATAAGTCCTACCTCTGTCATGCAGCTTGACAGACCAAAGTTTACCAGTCCGGACAGTACCCACAGAACCAAGGCAAAGCCAGGAGAACCCGCGTAGTATAGGGTAGCAGTCGACGCTATGAAGATGCCGTTCCCTCCGGTATTGGCTATCAACATCGTTGTTGCAGAGAACAAACCAATTGATCTTTCCAATTTCGGCTCTTGCTGGTTTTCCACGATCACCTTGCCTGAGGATTTTCTTCTTTTGACATCATTGTCTTCTGGAATCATTTTATGGTTAATGTCATGAAGGTCGGTGCCGTTAGTCATTGGTTCCGTCATGGTTATGAAATAACTGTAAATTTTGCGTTAGTTGCACGCAACGCCTCCCAGTGTCGAAGATCGGTTCACGGACTGACGTTCAGCTGTTCACAGCTAAAAAATCAGCTGGTCGTGATTGTTTCATAAATAACACCGGCAGCGTGTTGCAGTTTTCGGATTTCACTCCATAAGTTGTCTATGTTGTGCTCACTGCAATACTGTCGTCGCCACATGATCAGAGGCACACTGCTCTGTGTTCTAACTGGGTCAATATTGGCCTACATGTCGTCTATAAATAAAACACTGCTGAGAAGAAGTTGGACTATCACATGACCCGGCACGATCACGTGATCCGTGATTTTGGCGTACACGGGACCAGTCATTGGGTTGTGTGCACGGGTCCACGGAACGCCAGCCGAATGTGAGATAAGATTAGGCGTAAAAATCTCCAGGATTAACAACGCGGGCTTTTGTGTACTGATTGTTATCGGGTTAAGCGATGGTACATTGCACGATACGGGCGCAAGTAATAATCTTTGTATGACTATGTTAAACATACAACATTATAGATAATAACTTCTGGTGTGTTGTTTTTCGATGCAGAATCTTACACCGTTATCTATAAACTAGAAGTTGTTATCCATAAAGTTGCATGTTTTATAATTTACTCATCAACTTCTAGACGAAAACCAAGCAGTCACCAACAAGCATATTTAGTACTCCTGGGCCTAGATTTTCGAAGCTCTCTTAGCGCTAAGATAGTCGTAAGTGCCATACATTAACATTACCTTACGACTATCTTAGCGCTAAGAGAGCTTCGAAAATCTAGGCCCTGCACATTAGTAATAGCTATTACCTATGCTTGCACTCAGTACTATCTTTTAAATAACTTTATTTTCTTCAAATACATTTAGTGCTCGCTATTAAATAACTTAATTGCCTACACTTACATTTAGTGCTAGCAAGTAAATGATTTTATTAACTTCAGATACATTAAGGTGAGGTGAGGTGAAATTGGGTTTAACGTCGTGCTTGAAAATATTTCGCTCATATGACGACGTGCATGCATGTGTATGTGCGGCTGCTTGTACTAGACTGAAGCTGGTTTTATAGTGCTAGCCCACTGAGATACCATGCCGCAGTGAAGCATGAATACCCCACTCAGACACATTATACTGACTCCGAGCCGACCAGTCCTTGTTGTACCCATTAATGCCGAGCGCCAGGCAGGGACCAACAAGTACCATATTTTAACGTCTTTTGGTATGACGCGGTCGGGGATCAACCCGCGACCTTCCGCTCTTCGGGCGGACGCTCTAACCACTACACCACGGAGGCGGTTATACATTAAGAACTAGATCCATAACGACTATATTACATTCACTTCTATGCAATTCTAGGATACTAGTAGTTGTAATTATTCCTTTGTTTCTATCTGGTTAAACGCCGCACCCAGCAATCTTCAATCTAGATAACGACGGTCTGTAAATAATCAATTCGACCAAACAATCCAGTGGTTAACATCATGAGCATCAATGTCGGATCCACACGGGGGTTCAGGGGGTTCGAACCTCCCCTCTCCCCCTTGAAAATGACCCTTACAAGACCACATTGAAGATTTTTTCAGAGGTGTATGTGTGTGTGTGTGTGTGTGTGTCCGCCTCTGAAGAGTAGTTAATGATTGGGAGGGGCGGTGGTGTAGAAACGTTCACTCGTCACTTCGAAGACCCGGGTTCGATTCCCCACATGGGTCCAATTCGCGAAGCCCATTTCTGGTGCCCCTTGTTGTGATATTGCTGGAATATTGCTAAAAGCGGCGTAAAATCATACTCACTCACTACTGATTGGGTTGTTGTACAGATGAAGTACATCTCATAAATAACTGCCACAACTCACTTTCAGGGAGTGATCTTCCATACCGGATGATCGCTGAAACCTGTTTATATGGAAACTTTCATTCAGTATTGCACCCTTAGTGCTGTTAGGGGATTTAATATTTACAAACCACATTGGACACCTAAACCAGGAGACATTTTGGACACCCACCTTAACCCTTATGACAAATATGCTGTGTCTGTTTTAGACAATAACGTCATTGTTGGCCACATTCCTGTGCAACAGAGTAAGTTGTGTAACTTCTTTCCGCAACGTGGCGGTGCTATTCAACTGGAAATCGTGTCCAATAAGCCAATACGTTCTCATCTGCCACACAGTGGACGAGGAATTCCAGCTGTGATGATATTTATTGGCCGTGAAAAAGACATAAATAAATTGCAAGAAATTATTCAAATACATGTAGATTTTTAGACATGGCTTCAAGAATTTTTTTTACAATAGATCAGAAATTAGATGCTATTCGTAAGTTGAGTTTGAAGGTAATTTGAGAAGAGCTTCTAGAGAATTGGGTATTGACCAATAAAACTCAGAAGACGGCGTTGAAACCGAAAACATTCATATTTTGACACTTGTCATTTCCTTTAATCCGTTGAAATGTATTTGTTTATTAAACTTTGACCAGTTTTTAAACTTTAATCGTGTTGGTAGTTTTTGTCGTTTTTGTCGTCAAATGTTACCCTGTCCAGGCAAAAATCGAAATTAAGCCCTGGGCTTAAAAATACGTGCAGTCCCGCGAGTTTCATCTCTATATCTGTGATAATCTAGTTCTTGTACTGTCCTAAGTCGAAAGGTTTCACGGTCTAAAAGCTGTATCATAAATGTGTTTAGATTTTGCAAGGATATGGCTGAAGTACTACGATGTGATCATACATATTAACTACCCTGCTCACCATGTTAAAGTATTGGGAGTAGGATCACCGTACTGCTACCACACCGCTGTGGAACGGAAACCTTTCCTGTTTTCATAATACAGTCTAAGAGAAGATTCCCAGTTGTAAGATCGGGTAAGTATATGTGAAGAAGCGGTAAGTTCGTCATTTGAGTATCAAGGAGCGCACACATAGAACTATCTTCCCACAGTGTACCTACTTTTTAAAAGGGGGCTATACTCCAGGAAATCAGCAGCCCAAACAATTTGTTTCAAGTCGTTAAAACACCAATCAGTTTGTCACTTACACCCATTTTGCATTTTGAATATTGGTCTAACGGTCAGTTGTTGCACTAGTTACACTGAGACACTCTATCAGTGCCATCATGGAACTAGTTACAAAGTTTATAAGTAAATTGGAAGTACTTTAGTTCTAAGTCGCTGGCAAATGAACAATCCTACCTTCGTAAGCTACCAAATAACCCAAGACGACCTTTAAAGAACATGACCATTGTTGTTTGTGACGTAATAGTCAGCTGTTATAAATCTGGTCCAGTTGCTAATCTTACATCCCCTCGCTGTCGAGGGACAAAGCAACCAGTCTATACCCAGTCACCCAATTTGGCACTAGCTCTAGATCATGACCAGGTAAAAGGTGTAAAAGGATCGGTTGTGTTCGGAGCAGACTAATGTGAACGAAGCGCGAAGCGAAGCCGAAACTGTTTTGTTCTCTCAACTGTACTTTTTTTCAGTTTGATTCCCTGGGTGTTCTTCATTGAAGCGTCAGCGCCGCATACCCAGAGAACCAGTCCGGTCCATTTTTGTTCGGATGATGTACAGTCACGATTCCTATATTTAGAGTTAAAGACAACACTCGGGTTTTACGAAGAGCAAACATCAGGTATAAAGTAAACAGTTCGTACAAACGGCACATTTCCCACAATCTATTCATAGCCAATAAACGTGTGGATCAGTTACACCCGGCTGAAGCTGGGGAACAAGATCGGGATACACGACCCTCAAGCGGATGATGCAAACCTATTGTACCACAGCCTTTACACGTGAGAGACGTGAGAGAGAGAGAGAGAGAGAGAGAGAGAGAGAGAGAGAGAGAGAGAGAGAGAGAGAGAGAGAGAGAGAGAGAGAGAGAGAGAGAGAGAGAGAGAGAGAGAGAGAGAGAGAGAGAGAGAGAGAGAGAGATCTCAGTTAGATTTCGGCCACCCATGCTTGTCGCAAAAGGCGGGTAACGGGATCGGGTGGTCAGGCTCACTGACTTGGATGACACATTTTATCGTACTCCAGCTGCGAACATCGATGTTCATGCTGTTGATGACTGGATTGTCTGATCCACACTATTATTGATAGACCGCCGCCATATAGCTGGAATATTGCTGAGCGCGGCGTTAAACAACAAACATAACTTCTTGGAGTGGCGTTTAGAAGTTGGTGTTTTGAACAACGAGGAGAGTTCTATTGATATACAACTTCTTAAATATTAATATGAGCGACGTTTCGGTGTAACTACTAACACCGTTATCAAGCAAGTGATGCAAGCAGTGATGCGTTTGGGTACATTCATGTACGATTATGTAAACTGCTGCTATTCTTATTTTCGTTTAATAAGCTACCCGTGAAGGTCCGGGTTAGAATATTGATCTTCAGTAACCCATGCTTGTCGTAAGAGGCGACTAACAGGATCGGGTGGTCAGGATCCATGACTTGGTTGACACATGTCATCGGTTCCCAATTACGCAGATCGATGCTCATGCTGTTGATCACTGGGTTGTCTGGTCCAGACTCGATTATTTACAGACCGCCGTCATATAGCTGGAATATTGCTGAGTGCAGCGTAAAACTAAACTCACTCACTCACTCGTTTCATAAGCGTTTCCTGGCTATATTACCAAACCGGGAAGTAGACAATTCTCACAGTCGAGTAACCAATACAACTGGTCGCTTCATGCACATACATATCTACCTGATTACGTGAGAGCAATTTGAATATTGTTTTGTCCCATAGAAGGATTTTGTTTACGCTTGCCTTGTGGAACAAACGCAGACTTTGATGTTTTTAGACACAATACATGTGTTTTAACGGAAGAGTAAGTGTGAATATAACATAAACCGGGACCGTCATATCAACCCAGCAGTATGGTGGAGTTTGATACATATAGAGATATAACCCGCCGCCACAAACCTTTGAGTAACAGAGACCAAGGATTCTACACACCACCGGCCTACAAAGCGCTAATGAAGCAGTACACTTTATCAATCAGCCCCCAACTAACTGTTTCTTACTGCTTTCACTACTTAATTCCCCCCACTTCTTTGAGTGGCATTTTAGAAGTTGGGAAGTACAATATAGACAAGCTTTATAGATAACAACTTCATTATTTCGTGAGTGCAACGTTTCAATTCAGATTCTTGTTCCCATTCCAGCTTGACAACGGTACAAGAATCTGTATCGACACGTCGCACTCACGAAATAAAGTTGTTATCCATAAGTT